TTCCTTTTTTTTTTTTTGGATACAACGGAAAACATTTATCCTTTGATTTCTAGTGTATTGATAAAGATATTAGTCTTTATTACTGGCAAAAATACGCACTTCTAGGGTTTTAAAGTAAAAGTTTTGGGGATAGGTTCCAACAATTTGTTTGGGTGATTGAGAATGCATCTTGTGTTGTTCATGTTAAATTCTTTAATTAAATATGCTTGAGGATAATTTTTTTATTGAAATAATTTAAACCATTTAGTTAAAGACATTTCAAACTTTATATATGTGTTTGGGCTAAATATTGGTGAACAATATGCATAATATATATATATATATATATATTCTAATTTCTAGAGATGAAATTTCTTTTATCTGATCTCTAATAATTTGTCGATATGTTAGTTGGTCATGAGCTTAAAACTTTAGAACATTGGATTGGCATAATCTTATATTGTAATGTGGTGCTCCTCGAGTGCTTTTTATTTTTCAAAAGAATTTCATGACAAAGGTAGATATATACACAATAAATGTTATTCAATTTTGTTAAACTTAAAATTATGTTTTAAATTTTCATTTTACAAGGTATTCAAAAATTGTCATGTGATCTTTCTACTATTATGATCACTTTTGTTTTGTTTAAATGATAAGTTTGGATGCTTAATTATATTAAAAGCGTTTTACACTTGTGAGTGGAAATTAAATTAGTCAATCGTTTTAGATCTTTTTTGATATTATTAATTAATATCTAAGATGATATTTAATTTCATATTATTAAAGTAAAAAAAAAGGTTGAATTGTACATTTGGCCCTCCAACTTTAAAATTTTAGTTTGGTCTTCTAATTTTTGTAAAATATATTTTTAGTCCTCCAAACCTAACATCATTAGTTTCTAAAAAAGAAAATTTTATGCCAATCATTGTTATTTTAAAAACATTTGAAAATATTTTATCAATATTTAAAAATCCAATGTAGGAATTTTTTTTATTCATAAAACTAAAAGTATTAAAATTAAAAGGCTGAAAAAATATTCTATAAAATTAAAATACCAAAATAAAATATCATATAAAGTTAAAAGATTAAAGATACATTTTAACCTTAAAAAAAAGTATATTTGAAACCTTTGTTGTGCTGCCTGTTGAAATTGGTGTGGCTGATGCGCATTAATGGAGATAGCTTGTGAAATTGCATATTTTGGGGGGGTCTTAATCACTATTTAGCTTGTGAAACTGCCTATCTGTTGAAACATACAGATTTGTCTTCATTTTGGGGCTTAATTAATCTGAAACTGTGCACATCTTTTCCCAATGACCTATTGATGTTAACTTGATGAAGCTCATTACTAATGGCTTTAATTTTCAAGGAATGGGCAGTTCATGGGTTTTGTACGAGGATACATGGATCTCATTCTTCAACATCTTTCATGGAAAATGACTTGAATCACTTGCATCTTGGATATTTTATGAATTGTAGATTTTCATTAATTAAATATGAGTTTAAGTAATTAAGTTTGGTTTATTATTAAGCCCATAATAGATTCCTCTTTATAATCCTGTATGTATTATTGTGATTAGTGAACTATATAAATAAGCCTATTGGGTAGAGACAACGACAAGTTGTGGCAAAGGGTGTGCTTGCCCCATAATTTTACTGCTCCTATGTGTGTTTTTTTTAAGTTTTATTTGTAAAAAAATGTTAAATTTAGTTTTTGTTCCCCTTTGTGTTTTAATTGTTTTAAAGTTTTCTCCCATGAAGTTGAGTCAATATTTGTTACTAGGCAGGGGCCAACTTATAACCTTTTAGCTGTCAATTTTATCACAATTATGAAGTTGATTAAGTAAGAGAGCTTATGGGAGAGTTAATCAATTAATTAACTAAATATATTTAAGTGGTAACTATAACCTAATCTTCAAGGGGTTCAACATCTCATGATCTTTCATAGGTCTTCTCCTCTCTTTCTCTTATATTCTTTTGCTATCAGTAAAGTTAAGGAGGTCTAGAAGTTTACATTGTGAACCTTCCCAATCTTGAGATAACCAACATCTTCTTTGCTTTCTAATACTAAAGGTTATTTTTAAGGAAGTAGGGGAGGTAGTCAAATAATTGTTTTCCGTGGAGATCACTTAATTTTTTTTTTAAACATTTAAGTACTGAAAATATGAAAGTTAAGTACTGAACAAACACCATGGCTTTGTAAGGTATGTAATTAATGTTTTAAAAGGTTTTTAAATGTAATTAACGTCTTTAAAGGTCTTTAAATGTCATTTTCCCAAAATTCCTGCAAATGAATGTAAAATTATATTAATTTAAGTAAATAAAATAGACCTATCAATAATATTGGTATTATTTTATTTTCAATATTACTTTAAATTCACACGGGTAACCCTTCACCTAGGCTAAAATTACAAGAAGATAGTATATAATATTTAATATTTTAAACCTTTCATTTTTTTTTTTTTTTACCAGCAACCTACCTTTCATATTTTGCACCGCCTATATTCTTAATGATTTGAAGTCACTCGAATCTTCACCTAGATCCAAATATATCTGATAAGCCCATTAAACCTAATCTAAAATTTTAAGCCCACAATAGCCGAAAACTATTATTCCCAGGCCTTGTTTTTCTGCATCAAGATGCTTTTTTGCTTCGTATAGGATAGTGAGTTTCACGTGATGACCTGCAGGGGCAGAGCCAGGCAGCTAGCATTTCATAACTAATATTTATAATTAATTTGAGATTTTTAATATTTATCATAACTAATATTCTTAAAATATTTCTATAGATTTATAAATGTTAGATAATAAAATTTGTATGATTATAAAATATTTGTAAGAAAATATAAATTATATTGAAAGTACATGCCTTATATGTAATTTTATAGGCGAAACATATAACACATTAAATTTGAGAGAGAATTAAACATAATTACTGATGGTTTATATTGTTATATATTTCCAATATTATTACATTTTGTAGCAATATTAGGACATATCTTCAAATTTTGTAAAAAAATAAATTAATATAGTAATATGTAAATTTTAAAAAGATTAAATATTTGACATGTTTAAAGTAATATTTAAAAGTCTAATCATAGAAAAATTAAATAAGAAAAATTAATCTAAATTTAATAAGAATGCTCAATTTTTATAACAATTTAACCAAAAATATAATATAAACAATTGTAAATTAATGAAATGTATATTTTATTGTTTTTTTAACTACTAAATAAAAGTTAAAAATAAATATAAATGAGATGACTAAATAAGTAATATATTATATTATATTATATTATATTATACTATGACAACAACAATACATCTTATTAGATAGAGTCAGCTACATAAGTTGTATGACACCATTATTGTATTCTATCATCAATAATCAAGCTCTTAAGCATATTTTGAGTCACGAATGTATTAGGATATATTGTTGATGGAGATTTGTTTTCTTTGAATTTGTTATCCATTAAGATTTATTCTATTTAAATTTAGAAAATATTTTGTATTCATTAAATATTATTAGGATATTCGCTTGTTATTATTAGGTTCATCTATGGTCGTATGCTCTTAAGATCAATAAAGTATGTCATTTTTCTAGTCTCTTGATTTCTTTCATGATATTAGAGCTAGGTTAATTAAGCTTTGATAGTTTGTTTACACTAGAGATTTGTATTGCAAAGTTCTAGCCCTTCATGCCTCTTTATTTTGTTTTTATAATGGTTCAATTTAAAATTTTATGTAATGATTTATGCCTCTAACAATCACCCCTCAGTTTGTTAGGGATTGAGAGAAGCTCGTTTCAGTAATACCTTACTTCTTCATCCTTGATTTTTCCTACCAAGTGATTTATTCTTTTGAGAATCACTCTTGAGTTTGCAAATGATTGAGAGAAGTTAGTTCATTTCTGCTATATCTTGCTTCTTTACTCTTGATTTTTTATCTAATGATTCATTTTTAAGAATCAATCTCAATTTTTATGCCAATGATTTATCCTCCAAGTTTAGATTCTTTGAATCAGTACAACCTCTTGCAAACTCGAGTATCTTGAATTTGGGGGAAAATGTTAAAATAAATTATTTATAAAGACTTATTTTATTTAAATTTGTTACCCTTTAAGATTTATTCTATTTAAATTTACACAATATTTAATATTTATTAAATATTATTAGAATATTCAGTGGTAAAAAATTAATGTTGTGATGTGATTTACAAGATCAAGGAAGAACCTTCCTCAACGTCTAAGTATTTCTAGTATTAAAGGATGAAGCTCAACAATAAGAAAACAACGGATGAGTGAGCTGCCAAGTTAGACGCGAATGGCATGTATGGTCACTATGGTGCATGGCACGTTTCATGCGCGCGCGCGCGCATATTCAAAATGTTTTAGTTTTAGCATTATGTGTAACTATGAGTATGGATCAACCCATATATCACTGACTTATAATTCCTCGTACTTTTCACTGATAAAAGTGGCAAAATTTCACAAATTTATATTAAAACAAAATAACAAGTCAAAATTAGTAATTTATATAGTCAAAACTTAACTATGGAATTAATAAGTGACATATAACTTGAGGTTGAGTCATGCGCTCAAGTAACTAACTTCGATATTATTATAGATATATTTCCTCCGGTTTTTATCAAGTATCTTCGGTCTTTAATGCATACACACAATAACACTTTTTATTTAAAAGATTAATTTTCTTCTCTCCAAAGTATCATTTAATTATTTGATATTCCGTAACTAACAAAATAACCTCCTCTAATTAATTATAAATTTTATTGAAGATAATTGTAAACTTTACAAGAATTAAGTAATTTTAATTAACTTTCAAATTAATAATCATATAAAGCTGGCCACAGGGACTAATAATTAATTAGCTTCTTAAAAAAATGTTCTTACAAGTCTTAGAGAGGAAGGAGCAGCATCATATAATTGTTTTTGCAAGAACGTCTAACTATATATGTTATAAGAAAAGTAAAGTGCAATAAGTGGCAAGAAACGTGTACAGTAATAACATTAATATATGACACTGTTTATTAATTGTCACACCAAACTGGGAAAAAAAAAAAAACACAACGATAACCCCATACAAATCCTCCTGATGACATGGAAGAAATGAATCTAGCTATAACAAATTATACACATTATTTATGCTGCTCATGAGTGCTGATATATAGAGCAAATAGGATGAGAACAATATAACAAGGAGATATCAATTATAAATTTAAGGGCTAGAAGATGAAGGTTGAAGCATTTGCTATGTCATTAATTAGAAGGAGGAGGAGAGAAGATAGAAGGAATAGAAGTTGGGATCGCGGGAATAACAGGAATATTAGGAAATGGAGGAAGAGTGACTCGTGGCACTGTTGGAATCGTAGGCAGATTAGGGATATTTGGCTGAGGCATTGTTGTTGGGATTGAAGGGAAAGGTGGTAATCCTGTAGGTTTAGGCAAGTTACTTGGAATTCCAGGCATGTTTGGTATCGAAGGCTGTGTTGTTTGCAGAAGATGACGAGCTGCTACGACACTTGAACTCATCATGCTGGAGAATATTGCGAGAGCCAGCAGGAAAGTTATGAGGATGGAGTTCCCAGAAGATGAAGCCATGGCTGGATTGATTATGAAGCGGTGAAGATCAGTGAAGAAGATGTAGAAGATCGAATAGTAATGTTTGGTCTGAGTTTTGATGATGATACAAGTGATGATTCTTGGTCTTATATATAGATAGAGGTAGGCAGAGGGGCTGTATGGTTTGGAGAACCACAAAGAGACTTCTATAGAGATCTTTTATATTTGTTGGTCACCGATTTGTTTGTGTGATTGGAAACACATTTCTGGTGCAGACTGCAAATTTTCAAACATAAGATGGCCAACCACATATTATAATGTATTATATAATTAAGAGGTTAATTATAGGGAGGGAAAAAAGTATGGAGAGAAAAAGTTGCTCATTTTTTTTTTTTGGGTAGTTATATGCATTCTCTCGGAATATTATAGTTTTCTATATTCTATTTTTTTCATTGATCATGAGTATCTTTTCATTAGAAGTAATCATTATATATTAATATAATTATAATTAATTATTATAATATATATCTATTGTTAATATTTTTGATACTAATAATATATTACTATTAATATTACTATGAATAAAAATATTATATATAATATATTTATATTATTTAATATATGATATTAAATTTATCACCCTATTAATATTACTTTTTAAATATATTACTAAATACATATATTAACACAATAAATCTAAGGGTTTCCGATGACAGATTCCTTCGGACGAAAAGATGAGGGTTTCCAATAAATATATAGTAATAAATGAATATATAAAATAATTAAAATTATAATATTAATCATTTACAACTTGTTGTTATATGTTATAACGTTATATATATATATATATATATATTTTATACGCTTAAAATTGCTGAGGGTTTCAAAATATCAATGACAAGTCCTTTGGATGAAAAGCTGAGGATTTCCAATGAACATATAATAATAAATGAATATATAAAATAATTAAAATTATAATATTAATTAATATTTTATATATAATATTTTACATGTTTAAAAATGTTGGGGTTTCAAAATATTAATGATAAGTCTCTTTAGACTTGTCATTAATATTTATATCTAACAATAGGTCATACTTGACCTGTCGTTAGACATATAAATTTAAATTTATAATATTATTTATATTAATAATATTAATAATAATAAAATTAATTATTTGTGAAGATATAGATAACAACGATAGTTTAATTAGAGACCTGTCATGATAATATTATAATATTTACTTTTGATGTTATAATCATAGTTACATTTATAATTGTGGAAAAAATAGTGTCGTTAAATTTGTATTTGCACTAGTGATGTTTAAGGTAGGATTGGACATTAAATGTGAATACCTCTTTTTATAAAGATTCAAACTTTAATTCACTACTTTGTGAAGGATTAGCCCTATTTTGTTAAACCTAACCTTGTTAATAATTTTACATATTTTTTTAATAAAGACACGTGTGTATTGAACATATAAAAATAATTAATTCATTTGGTTTAACTATTTTTATTAAATATAATATATACATAGCATGATAATTTTATAAGTTATCATTTCATTTTTTTTTTATAGTAGTTCGTGAAACTGGAATATCAGCCTATATATAGGAACTGAACATTGCACATGCTAATAATGATCGAGAATAAGTTGGGCAAAATATTACTGAAGTAAATTTTTTTTTTTAGGTTAGAATATACAAAAATTTCCTAAATTTTGAGATCATTGCTTAGAATTCTTTTACTTTTAAAAATTTAAAATTAACTTTTCTAACTTTTATTTTTTAGAATCACATTGAAAAAGAAGGATGAATATCCTGCAGTGTTGTAGTCTCATGAAATATGCAAAAAGCACTAAAGTTCCAAGTCCTTAAAATGTAAAGAAGTTTTCTTACATAATTACCAAAATGCCCTGCTGCATTACAAAGGAAAAGAGCTAGGCAAATGGCAAGAGGGTATTTTGGTGAGCAAACCAATTGAAGCTTCAAATCTTGAGCCACTACGCTGAGCAAACCACCCATGCGCTTGGCAAGAGGGTATTTTTGATTTTTGGTGTTGTTGATCAAAGCTTTGTTCTTGAAGTTATTTCTTGTGCTAATTTTGTAAGCAGCATTAACACTTCTACGAATTGTCCTGATTTTCCTTTCTTGCGAAGCCATGGGACTATGCACTACATTCATTTTCAAATTCGATTTTGCTTTAGAATGTTTTTTATTTGGTTTTGCTTTTTGTTTCTGGAACTGTACCTCCGATGAAAATGAGACCTTAATGTGGATTTCACGCTTGAGTCCGTGAATTATCTCAATGATCCCAAAGTCTCATTTCCTCAGACAATTTGTCCCCAATCCAGACGTGGACGGAGTGATGGATCACCCTTGTGCAAATGATGGCGTTACAATCCTGTTCTAAGTATTGTCAAACATGAATAATTTTTCTAATAAAAAATTAAATCTTAATTCGTTGTGGTGTGAGAAATTAATCCTTTCTATTAAATTTAATTTCTGTTGGTTATGATTCACCACTCTTTGTGCAAAAGACTAGAGTTAGAAATAAAAGTCGAGTATGATGGCCGTCCATTTAAACTCATTTTTATAAAAGTTTGGACTTAAAAAAATGTTATTGTTTTAGAAAAATTGAACTTCAAAACCTAACTTTGATAGGCTCTAAAAAACAAACTCGAGCTTGAGTGACTTTTTTAGACCTTTTTTCATTTTAACTCTAAAAAAGTAAAATATTTTTATTTTTTAAATTAAATTTAAACTTCAAATATGGCTACATGTGATGACCACGTGCATGGGAAGTTAAGGAGAAGCAAAAGGAAACATACAAAGATGTGGAAGCTACACGACTTGAGCGATACTGAATGATTATAATAGAACAGAATTCAGTGCATTGAGTCATTGCACCGAATGAGCTTTATGAGTATGAGGGTTCTCTCACTCAATATGTTGATTTTTTGAGATTAACTCTTCTTTTAACCTTGCACTCATTACTGTATAATGACTCAATGCAAGGATATATGATATGCAACTATATTATTAAGCCCTGTAACAAAATGCTCAGAATTACAAAACAAGTATCAGGGAGAAACAATACATGGAAAGGAAATAACAACAAAGAATTCTAGAGAGAGAATAGAAAGAAACCGTACAGAGAGAAGATTACACAATCATATTTGCCACACCCTCCTAACAAAATTCTGTTCTATTATAATCATTTTGTATCACTCAAGTCTCGCAGCTTCCACATCTTTGTACGTTTCCCCGTGCTTCTCCTTAACTTCCCATGCATTAGCAGCGGAACCAGATTTTAGATCTAAGGGGGCCCAAAATTTTTAATTTAATAAATATTATCAATTTAAGTAATTTAAAACTAATTAATTAAATCCTAATATAAAATTTTAATATTTAAACATATATTCACAATTTTATAATAGGCAAATATATATATATATATATATATTATATGCAGGCATGAATTAAATAAATATATATATATATATATATATATATAGGAAGGGGTTGGAACTTGGGGGGACCAAGGCCCTCTCTCCATCATTAACGTAGTTCCGGCCCGCATGCATGTGGTCATGACATGTATTTGGGCTTCCGCTAGGCCCATCTCATTTGGGTTCATTACACATTGTATTATTGTTTTACTATATAATAAGAAATGCAAACACGCATACACACACACCCTGTTTGTTAGTCGCTACTGAAAGAAACGGGAAAACAAAAAAACGTTGATAGCTGACATAGAAGAACGCAATCGAAGACCACAACTGTCAAACAAATGATGTATTATACTATTATATTTATACTGCTGAGTGCTGATTCATATAGAGATAGTATAAGTAAATGTTTGTGTCTTATAGAATAACTCTGATTTTGAATTGTCACACGAAAATAAAGAGAAAGAAAAATTCACTGATAGCCTCATACAAACCCTTCTGACATAGAACAAATATACAAATTCTGCTTATTCATTATAGCATTGTACGAACAATATAACGAAATATGTTGTTCAAGGGCCAGGAGGGAAAGATGGACGTGGTGTAATAGTATTTGGAGTTGAAGGAGGAACATTAATGGGCCAATGGAACCTTGGTCTAACAGGCCCAATTTACTATAAAAATTTTACAAATTTTACAAATTAACCATTTATATATCCTCTAGACAATCTAGATTTATAATTTTTATATTAATAAAGATAACATTTAAGAATACTTAAATATTAATTTAAATGAATGGTAAAGATTATTTTAGAGTGAAATGGAAGGTTCAAATTGAGCCACACATATGAGCATGAATGCTGACAATAAGTTAGGGCTGTGCAAAAGTCTTGTAGTCTGGTCCAACCCGGTCCGACTTGTGAAAACCCGGTCCAGTCTAGTCCTATAAAATGTTGGTCCTGTAGGACTAAAGAGACCAAAAAAACAGGACTGATTTTTCGAGTAAGACCAGATTAGAGACCAAGCATGTGGACTAAATGATCTGGTCTGGTCCTATATAATTATTTTAATATAATTAAAAATAATTTATAAATTATTAATTAATAAGTTTTGCATTATTATCTTCAGGCTTCAGCAAGCGGCGCAGCTACTCGAGTCTCAATCCACAAAACTCATTCATTCCTAATTTCTCCACTCTCCAGTGCGCCGAAGCCCTAGCCCCTGCCTCCTCCTGTACGCCACCTCCGACCACCGTCAATCACGTCGCTAGCCCTTGCTCTTCCCTCTTCATTCTCGCTCGAGCCTTGATCTCTGATTCATTGCTCTTCCCTCTTCATTCTTGCTCAAGCCATTCTCCTGCAATCCTACCTACCGCTACTCTGCTTCAATCACGTCGGTTCGTCTATTATCAGCATCGCCTCTCGTATCTGATTCATCGTTGAGCACCCCACACCACTGCCCTACCCCTGCTCTCCATTACCCCTAACCTCTGATTTAAAGGAACAATTTGGATTGACTTACCTGCTTTGAATGGGCCAAATTCACATAGAGTTGAATTTCTTTCCCTCAAATTAAATCTTACTTACCTGCTTTAGCTTTAGCTGCTTCGCTAAGTTTTCTGCCAATTCTTGGACGACAAGCGAAGAGGTTACCGTGAGCGGATCATTG